GCAGCCACTTTGCAGCCTTTCATTTGCTGTTCATTTTAGCCCCATTTCATCAACATTTGCAGATTAACTTGCTGCACATTTTTGTTGTCATTTAAAAGCTTCATTTCCATCATATTTGCAGTTAAATTGCTGCCATATTTGCTGTCAAAATTGCAGCTTCATTTGTTGTCAAATTTTCAGCCTCATTACTGCCATTTCATGGCAGTTTCATTTCATCATTTTTGCAGGTTTAAATGTCACATTTTTAATAACATTTCCAACAGTTCGTCCTACCATTTTAGTTTTACCATAAAAATATAACATTAATAACAGGGATGGAAGCTGGTAAGTAGCAAGTGTATACACACGGTAGGGGCTTAGACCCTCCAGCTCCTTTGTTATAAATCTTAGATCTAGGAATGAGGGAGCTAGCATACGAAAAAAGAAAGAGCCAAATTTGGATTTTGTAATTGGCACCCAAAGTAAAGAAGAGACAAGGTTTATGGACAGAAATTAGTAATGCAATCAAAGATTGACGGTTTGTAGCTGTTGTTACAGCCGGGCTGCTACCATCTGAAAATTTTGTCTTGCACAAATATGTTACATAAGCTGTAAATAACAAGGAGTGAGTAGTAATGTGCAGCCGCTTCCGTCCACTCAAAGAGGACAAAAGTATGCAGATCAGTTTGTCAGCGAGACACAGAAGAAGACACTAAAATTAAATCGAGAAAATGTTATTAATCATGTGTTTCAAGTTCCTACTAACTCCACACATTCCACACAAAAATGAGATAGATATATTACTCTACACGGTTACTACACTAACACCACGAATCCATCATCGTATTCTATTATTATTATTATTATTATTCACTAAAAATGAATTCCCAGTAGTAACAATTATTGAAAGGCTAAAAGAATTATTACAGACAGAAATATTCTTTTATCAACAACAAATGAATGAGAATTGCATACTAATAATAAGAGAATAAACTCTACTAAGAATGAAGTTCAATTATTTGTTTGTTGTTTTCTGACGGTATGTATTTATGTATGTATCCAAGTCAGTCAGAGAGAGTGCAGGGCTTCAGGAACCAAAATACATCCAAGGCCCTTGCTTGCCTTCCATCAATTATAGAAGAAGAAGAAGAAGAAGAAGAAGAAACAGTTGCTACACCTTCATCCTTATTTTGCTTCACTTCTTCAAGGACCCCTCTCTCCTGAGATCCATGACAGAAATTGCAATAAGAAAGATGATGATTTAATTTGATGCTGGGTCCAAAAAAAGTGTGGACTGTACAAGAAAAAGGAAATGTGGTTGGATGAAAAAATTGATGACATACATACATACCATCATAAGCTTGGATCTTGTTGAAGCCTTTGATGAAGGCGCAGAAAAGCATTGAGGGGAGGGTGGATTGGTTCGGCTCTGCAACAACCGCTCTTCTCCTTTGTGCTTTACTACTTTCTCCAAATTCACAGAGATTGGAATGTTTTCTGCCTCATCACCTCTTCTGCGTATAAATCAAAAACATTTTACTATTTTAGTCATGGAATTGGAAACAGCAATTAAAAAAATCGAAATCCATCATCAAGTAAAACACACACACACTTACTTCTTCCTTCTTGGCTTGTCCTTTGCATTCCCATCAACCAATAACTTTTTCTCACTGACTTCCATTTCAGTGATTTCACCCAAAATCTTACGAGGAGGAGGAGGAGGAGGTTCCTTCACCACCACTGCAGTCTTCTCCTCATTCTCTCTCTCCCTCACTCTTGTTGCCAATTTCTTCAATTCATTGCAAAACTCAGTTATATGATTGAATATGTCCCTACTTCCAAACAAATTTCTTGCTGACAGTGTGCTTTTTAACCCTCCCACCTCTTCACTCTCTGACTTATTATCATCAACCAATAGTTGTTTCTTCTTTTCACTGCTTGATTTAATTGCTCCTGCTGCTGCTGCTTTGAAGAAATTAGCTTGCTGATTGGGAGGCGTCGATAAACTTGGGTTCTGGTTTTCACTATCTTCACTGAATTTGGGATGGATATGTGATATATTATTTGGAGAATGTCTCAGTCCTCTTCTTTTCACATTTGCATTCCTAAAATAAAAATGAAAATAAAGCAAGAAGGAAAAGGGTCAAACTTAGATACATACATAAAATTAAAAATTGGGTATGAATTATGATAATTGGGAGCTAAGCGTTCCAATTCGTACCCTTGATTCCAATCCTTGAGTGGAGATATTTGGCTAACACCAGCTGACCTCTGAAGCTTCAACAAGTTCAGAAAAAAAAAAAAGAAAATTAGACAATTTAAGGGTCTATTTCTTCTAGCTAGAAATTTGATCTACCATTTCCAGAAAAGAAAGATTTATCAGAAGAAAAAAAGAGAGTTTTTTTCTCCAGTAAATTTCATAAAAGATCTCTCTTCCTAGTCCCTGTCCTACATTTTGGCAGTAAACAGCAACAAAGAGAAAATAACACACACCCCCTCCCCCAACCCCACCTGGCCACCTCTACTCTACCCAGACAAAGAGCTAAAATGTATATTTATTGAACGAAAAAGAAAAAGGCCAAGGCCAAGATCAAGAAAGAAAACCTTGGAATTGGAAGTGGGTGTTGTGTTAAGGAAATCCTCAGCTGTCTTTGGATGATTACAATCTGCGACACAAAGAGAGAAAAGAAAGCATGAGAGTTGGAAATTTAGGGGGGTATATATGATTAGTTGAGTAGAAGAAAGATTGTATTGTATTGTATTGTATGTACCAGGCCTGCAGAACCAAGCTTGATCACCAATGGCGTCTTGAGGTTCAGGGGACAAGAAATCAACCCAGTTGGGGGCGTTTATGTGCTCATAAACGCTGTCCACTACAAATCTTGAATCGATTCTCTTCCAATCGATTTTTGCAGGTTCCATGGAGAGAAAGAGAACACCCAAAAAGCAAGAACTGGCGATCAGAGAAGTTCTCCCCAACAATTTAGCAACCCTTTTTCTTGAGTGTGAGAGAGAGAAGATGTAAGTTGTAACGGTCAGTAGTCGGCAGAGAGGAGAACAAAGCGAGTGAACGTTGGTGTGTGTGTGGGGGCTTAAAATAATTATTCTTAGTTTTCTTTTTGACCGTTAGTGATAAAAAAAATAATAATATAATTTTTTTTTTGGATGAGAGGAAATACTTGGGGTGCGGTTGCGCTTAGCTTATTGTGATTTGCGATCGTTACATGTTTCACAAATCAAAACGTTTCTCAACAAGCATTTCCCTTTTTTCAAAAAAAAATAAAAAAACATGAAAAGTAGTTGAAATTTATGAGGGAAATTAATTGAGAGTCGGTTATATTGGTTGGAACTCTTATTAAATAGCCAAAAGGTGAGGAAGCTATTTTCATTTATAAATTTAAACTAATGGACATGAATAGTGAAGCCTTTCCCCATTAAGATTTTCTGGTAAAACCTTATTTTTAATTCTTTACGTTTAATAAATTTTTAGATTTTAGTCTCTCATATTACATTATAATACTTTTAATTTTTTATCTTAAATAAATTTTTAAGTTTCAACATTTCAATTAATATTATTACACTTTTAATCTTTCACATATACGAATTGAAGAAAATAATCATCATTTAACATCAAGTTATAATATTTTGTTAGTTCTATTAGTTGACTGCTAGTATCTGTTAGCATTTAGCTATAGAAAACATAAAATTTGAATTCAATTTTATTTGTTAGTTCTATTAATAAAATGCTAACAGAACGTTAACAATCAGTTAACAGAATTAAGAATCAACTAATAAAACTAATAAAACTAATAAAACATCATAACTTGATTTTAAATCAAGGTTATTTTCTTCTATTCGTATAAATGAGGGATTAAAAGTATTATAGTATAAGATAAGAGGTTAAAACTTACAAATTTATTAAGGTAAAAGACAAAAAATATTATATTATAATATAAAAAGTTAAAACCTATAAATTTATTAAAATAAAAGACTAAAAATAGATTTTAGCCATTCTTACAAGACAACGGTTTTGCAGTGTAGAATAATAACAATTAAATGCACCCCACCAAATAGTTATAGTTAAAGTTGTGAAGTTCTATTCGAAAAATTATCAAGGGTTTATCTAGCACTTACCAATTTTAGTTGGCTTAGATAAGAAAATCAAGAACTATGTTTTCTTCAACATTGACCTTGAAAAATAAAAAAATATTTTGATTTTAATAACAATTATATGAAATTAGTATTTGCCAATTAAATCTTTAAAAAATTAAGAAAAAAACAATTCAAAATCATGTTATTTCAATAAAATATTAAAAAAATATAAAATACTTTCATTCTTTTTATTAAAAAATAAATTATTTTAAAATTTTCAATACAAATTTATTAAAATAACATTATATTAAGACACTTTTCCTCCTAAATTTTTTGAAGTATAATTGATAAACATTTTTCTCTAATTATCTTATAAAAATATATGAAACCAAGCAAAAACTAATTATATTGTATTATATATATATGTATATGAAACCACGCAAAATTAAAATGCTATGACAATTAAAAAGCATTAATAATAAAAAATATTAAGATATATTTAATAAATTAAAAATATTTAAACAATTTTACAATAAAAATCCTAACATTTAAAGTGTCAAAATATCCTTATTTTTACTTTTCTCTAAATATATATACTACAACATAATTTTTTTATAATATCACAACACAAGAACAATCATAACATTCCATAACATTAGCAAACAGCCAGTCGCGATACCATAACAAACTCAATTATCAGGAGAGAGAACCTGAAAATCAAGCATTGTTACCACTGCATATGACCTAAACCAAGATTAACATCATCAAACTCAAAAGATATCAAACATCATAACAAAATTACTAAAAGATAAACAGAATATTATATCTCTCAGTTCAGGTCATAAAAACTGCATTGCTTCGGCAGTGGCATTGGCCACTACAAAAAAAAAAAATGATAGTTGTTTCGGGATTAAACCCTAAAACTAAATTATTCAATGAAAATTTTTGTGGGACTAAATTCTCAAATGTCGGGATTTTCATCATCATCTAGTCTAGCACTAAATGAAACAAAAGAGGTATAAATAAATCCTAAATTAAGCACCACCAGACCCATACTTCTTTCCAAACACAATCAGCTGCAACTTATCATAACCAGCCAGCACACCAGCGCCAGCAATAGCACGGAGGATGTTGGCTCCAGCACCCTTAAAGAGAGACTTGGCACCCTCATTCTTCAGAATCTGAGAGAATGCGTCAAATGAGCTGTTGTATTTCACTGCTTCACCAGAGGTCATCATCATTCTTCTGCGAACGGTATCAATTGGGTAGGATGCAAGGCCAGCACCATTTGTGATGAGCCAACCAAGTGCAAAACTAGCAAAGAAACTATCCTGAAACAGTCAAAAGAGAAACCAAAATGTAATCTCAATCTTCCAATCAGATGACAATTTTACAACTGAAATTGGCCAAATTAACCGCTCTACATCTTTTGCTTCTATAGACTATTTCACACAATTGGCCTAGTTAACCAGCCCAACGGCCATACATCAACTATATGTAGAATTCTCAAAAAGGTCACTCAGGGGTACAACAGCTTAAAACTAGAACATAAGCCTATAATACCACATTGAAAAACACTATCCTCAAGTTAAAAGCATTTCTCATTGTTCTATAACCCTATTATAAAGGTAGAAATAGAAAAACTACACACTCTCTTATAGACTGGCTTATAAATTAGTTAACATTTAAAGCAGCACCTAACATATCATAATAGTAAGAAAAAAATGGACATATCAGGGAGAGAGAGTCACTTCATTTAAAAGAAAGAGAGAGAGAAGCAAGAAACTGAACTAACCTGCAAGTCTCCAGTCAGGAGTACAGGTTTCAAAGAATCATACATCCCAAAGTAGAGACCACGGTAAACAATAATTCCAACACAGGAAATGTTGAATCCACGGTAAAGCCCAGCAATACCATCAGACGCTACTGTCTTCCTGTAGACATCAATGAGGCCATTGAATTGCCTTTCACCTCCCTTCTTTGCAGCCTTTGCATCATTGGCAAGGCGGGTTCGGGCATAATCCAAGGAGTAGACAAAGAGGAGGGAAGAAGCACCAGCTGCACCTCCTGATGCCAAGTTACCAGCAAACCATTTCCAGTAACCATCTCTGTCTTTCTTGAAGTTGAAAAGCCTCTTGAAGTAATCCTTGAATGCAAAGTTCAAGGCCTGTTGCAAAATGGAAAATGATGCATGCATTAAATACAAGAGCAATAGTTATAAGCAAGGGAAACAAAAGTTATTAGCTGCTTACCTGAGTAGGGAAATAACGGATGACATTGGCAGTGTTACCTCTCCACAGTGATATAACCCCTTCATCCTGCATGGTTCGCTTGAAGCAATCACCAATGCCCTTGTAGGGTTCAGAAAGCCTACCAGTTTTAATCATCTCATCTTGGTTCTGAATCAAAAGCTTGACACGCTCAATGGGAGCAGCAGCAGTTTTTGAAACAGCAGCAGAAACTCCTCCCATAAGGAAATCAATAGCAAAGCTAGCAAAGCCTTTCTCTGAAGGGGCTTGAACAACAATACCGGACGGCATGGATGGAACCATAGTGCTAGCTCGGCAAGACTGCACAAAAGGGTACTGCAGTGCAGCATTGGAGTAATTCCCACATGCAGCGTTCCTCTGGTACAAAGCAGACCTCCTGACAGTCCCATCATACACTCGAAGATCTTGACGAAGGAGCTGGCCAGCTACCTTCTGCATGACAGTTGGGTGTTGAGTCTGTTCCATTAGGGTTCCCTGCAGGAATAGAAGGTGGGTCAGCAAAATTTAGAAACGGAATGAAATTCTAAAATTAGGTTAGGGAGAAAAGGCTACACAATCACTACTGAGGAAACTATTTCCCTGAGCAGAGTTTTCCAATCTCAATTAGAAATGAAATGAACATGTCACCAAATATTCAACAGAATAAATTCCCTGCTTAGATGCACTAAAACGGAATACAAAACATGAAAAGTCAGATTAAATTATCCAATAGAACAATAAAATGAACGGATCTATGAATCCTAACATAGAGTCGCAGATCTACCAAGTCAACGTCAGGGGTTTTTACACTGCCAACATTAAACAACAGATCAGATCGGGAAATAATTTCAACACATTCCTATTCATTTCTACAAGAATCAATAGAAGATGTACGCATAGATGGACTGAGGAACAGAATATCAAAAACAGAATCAACACATTCCACAAGAACCAAAGACGGGAGGAAATATACAGATCTAATCGATAGATTACACACCTTAATCGAATAAATAGATAAATAGATCTGAAATCATCAGATCTGAAACATTATTTTCTTTTTTTCTGAATTGTTATTGATAAGCAAATTGGTAGCGTTGTTCAGAGTTATCACCTTGAATGGAGCACAAGTGGTGGCGGCGGAGACTGCGATGGGTTGTTGGAGGAGGCAGAGGAAGGTCTATGCTATGCCTTCCGCTGTGGGTTGAAAGGAAAGGCAGGACGCGGCAGATGACGGGAGACTCGATGCTTTTGAAAAGGTCTGCTGTCTTTTTATTGGCTTCTAGTCTAGGCCAGAACAGGGAAGGCCCATGTGTTGTGATTGAGGTATCATCTGCTACGCTGCTGGTGCGGGTACGTTTGTGGTAGAG